CAAAGTATATTAATATTACCTAATTATCAAAATTCATGACTAAAGAAGCCACCAAACTCTAATTTTAAATTAGCACACAAATATAAAACCTTGAATTATTTCTACAATATGCCTCAGAGCACCTGTTCATTTATTATAACATTTGAGAATCTTTTCTCTTTTACATTTACAGAATTCTTTTTGCATAAACAAAGTCAATATAAATAATTAAGAACTGTTCCTTCTTTGTTAATTTTAAATCATGTTAACTCAATTAATGCCTATATATATATATCATATATATATCTTATGTTTATTGTGTATACTGCATGCAAAAATAAACTATTAACAATGCCACATAATGCCTCTTTGGAGTTGCATTTTACTTGAAGCTATTCTATACCTTTTATCCTGTGCCACATTTCAATAATGACTATTTATAATTACAATCATCCCCTTATTCGCTTGGTATTTCATTTTCCTTGCCCTATGGCACCCTACAGTTGGAGGCAAGGAAAACGCTCTGTTGATTAGTTATTTAAGACCAGCAACAATAACTATGCTGGAGAGAAGGCTACTTGGAGAGGATTACATAAGACCTAGCACTCAACAGCCTCAGACAGAGAGCAGCAAATTATAAACCCAAGTGCTTCATTGCATGTAACCAAATTGGCTAGTTGAAATGCTAATTGCTTTTCAGCAAAACTAAAGACAGACAGGGGACCTTGTGCTTCAGAGAATGAAATGCATTTTTACTCCACTTCTACACCATTGTCTTGCTGAGAATCATTTGAAATCTATTCATAAAGGTAGCTCTTTCCCTAACCTTTAAATGTGGGAAATTTACTTCGCCCCTACCAGCACCTCCAATGTGCTGACGTGCCAAGATGCGAACAGATGGTTGGATTAAAGACATGTTAAGCCCCTAATAAAGTAAAGCATGAAAGGACTCTATGCTCAAAGGTACAGCATAAACCAAGAAAATATGCCTAAGGAAAAGGGGGTTTGAATAACAAATAAGTTTATGAAATTAAAATAATCAAATAACATAATCTGCAAAACATAAATATTTTAATGTAATTACATTCAAATGCATATAGAAAGAGCTATCATTGCCTCTCTCTCAAAGAGACCCTCCCCCAAGCCTCTCTTTATATCTAATAATTTTGCAAGTATTACTTCAAAACTCATTTATGGACAATTATTCTAACAGCCAGTGTTTCTCCTTTATATGAAAGAGAATCCATTCTAGGTTTTCAGAATCCTGAATAAATGAAAGAGAAATGCCCTATCAGCATCCTGCCCTCATTCTGAGGTAAAGCCAGACTTACGCCTGACTGCACCAGAAAAGGGCCCCATGACCACCTGCCCAGCAGCTGGGGGAAGGACTTGGTCTGGTACATTTTAAAGTGTATAGTGTGTCACAGTGGAGTCAAGAAACATAGCCTTTGTATTACCACTGCCTCCTGTGCCTCAGCCCCACCCTTCTCCTCCTCTGCCACACCTCTGTCGGGGCAACAGAACTGGGGTGCTGCAGCTTCCTGTGTGGCCTGACATCATGGCATAGTGGGGAACTCTCCATACATGCAAAAATGCCACCTGTGCCCCTTGTCCTGCCTTGTGAAAGGAAAAAATTAGGCATGCAATGTGGGGGATATCAACTTTCTATACTACTTCATTCTGCATGGAGTAGTCTGGTTTATTAGTAGTATGTTTATCTTCATTTCTCAACAAATATCTTTACATAAAGTCTGAACTGCCTGGGAGTGACAGAACATTAAGACTAAATTAGGGCTTTACACTATAAACGGTTTTAATAAATAATTCGGCTCTCACCCTAATTCAACAGGAGTTTAGGGAAGAAAAATATTTCTCTGGCTGGATAGTCACCAAAACCTTTAGACTCCAGTGTTTCTGATGATTTTTTTTTTCTTAATTCTATACTGTTTGAATTTCCTACATGACTTTGTATTATCTTTGCAAACAGGAAAAGAAAGTTATTTTCAAATCAAAAAGGAAGAGAGAGAGAGAGAAAGACAGAGGGAGGTAGAGAGGGGGGAGGTTGGTTGATTGAACTACATATGATATATAGCTGTGTGATTTTTCCAAAGAAAATCAAGGAAATATCCATCCAAATCTCCCCGTGGTAACACACCTCATTTTATAACCAAATTAAACCATCACCTAAGGAAATCAATATACTTTACAAGGATCTGTAAATAGTCTAGTTGTTCTCTATGTGAAGTAGAAATGGTGATGGCACAGTGCTTCCACTGTGCAGATTTTGGACCCAGTGCAAAAAATAATGACTTGTCACACACAAATAGGTAACAAAGCCACTTATTCAATAGATTAACCACTGTGTTAACCCCCTACAGATACTAGAGAAATATATAATACAGTCACTGTCCTCAAAGATTTTGTATTTTAATTGGGGCAACCTTGAAATTTTCAATAAAAATGGGGCAGCAATATAAGAAAGGGCATGAGGTGGCATTTGGTTGAGTGGCAATAACTAAAACAGTTAATGATCAAGGTAACCTGTTAGGATATTTCTCACTTAGTTTACAAGAATGTACAAGTGCCTAAAGTCAAAATTAGAAAAGTAGAATATGTGACCTTAAGTGAGTCTCTTAACTTTTCTAGGTCTCAGTTTCCTCAAATATAAAATAAAGAGGTTGGTCTAATTCAGCTCCAAATCTCCTCCTACTGCTTCAGGATTTCATGTTGTGTTCACAGCCTGTGAACTTCGGAGCAATAAAGGATCACACACTTAATCTAAGATAAAAGGTGTTTTCTTTGTGGGTCCTCCCAGAGCATATATCTTTCTGCCTCAGTTTCTTCATCTGCAAATAAGGTTAATACTATTTAATTCATGGTTTAATATAAAGTTACTCTATTGAAGAGCTTAAGATAATTTCTGATATATAGTTACATTCAGTAATAGTGGCATACCATTATCAAATGATATGGAAATATGAACAAAAGAGTTTAGTCACACCTAATTTTGCTCTGAATACCTTTTTGCCTTAGGTGTAGCATTACTGTCTTGAGCATGGACACTTTCAAGTAAAAAGACATCTAACATACTTTTCTGCCCTCCCATATTATTTCTAATAGTTATTTTTATTACCATAAAAGCACTTGTGCTCCAAACATATCTCATATTATCATTTTCTGATAAGGACTACAATTGTCATTCAATGTACTAAAAACATACAGTATAAACTGATGATTGTTATTAAAATGTAATAAATGTTGACTGAAACATGATGTCTATATCTAATGGCATCAAGACTCATTATGGACTCACATTGTAGTCTAAGATTACCTCAATTTATAGGCAGTTTAGCTTTAACTCCTCACATTCAGTCTAGTGTAGGTGCTAACTAAGAGCATTCCAGAAAAATCTTTGATCTAGATTTTTACTAACTGGGAAACTTTGAATAAGGAGCTTAAACTTTCCATGCCTCAGTAGCATTATCTGTAAATTAGTATAATACTATTCAATTTATGGGGGTGTTGTGTTAAAGAAGATAATCTACATAAAGGGCTTCTCAGAATTCACTACACAGGCAGTCAATAAATAGTGACTGCTATTTTCATTCATCACGAATATAACAACATGCAAATAAGATGCAGTCACACTTTTTTTAAGTGTATATATTTTGGTTACTATAAAAGTGTACATATCATATAAAAGTTATATAGTATATAAAATTTATAGTATTGAGAGATATAATCATACAATTTTTTTAACTGAAATAAGTCTTTGCAATCACCTAATCCAATCTTTATTTTATAAATAAATGAACAAACTAAAGCCCAGAAGGATGGGTGAATGTCCAAGGTCACTGTAAGTTAATGGGAGAGCCAGGATGTTATATTCAATCACATATATTTGACATATTTTATTATAACACAGTTCAGAGTGTATTTGGCACTCCCTGTAGCCTACATTTTTCTCAAATTACATAGGCTTAAGAGTTTGCCACTTAGCCTAGGAAGTTATCCAAAAATAAATGCCTTGTGTTCATTTGTAAACTGACTAAAACATCTATTTTTCTTTTCTTTAAAATCTTTTTTTTTTTTTTTTGGCGGGTGGTGATCTAGTACTTTTGATAAGTGACACACAAGGGGAGGCAAAAACACTTTCATAATTTAAGGTAATTATAACTTCAGCAAGAATTTTTTAATAATGCTGTATTAGTTAAGGTATTTGACCTTTATCCTAACTCTCAGTAATTATGCATCCTTAAAACTTTATATTAGTTTCTAAAAGAGTGTGCAGTATACTGGATTTCGTGAAATATGAAAAGTTGGCTTAAAACAAAAGTTACATATAAGTTAACACTGCATCTTAAAATTAGTTTTCCCCCCGATGAACTCTGTCAGATTTCTTAGTATCAGTTTTAAGAAAAAATCAATTTAAGATATAATAGTTTATGACAATGTATAATATGTATATATATACATATATATATATAAAATTCTACAGCTCCAGGCTAATCCCAAACTCCCTAAAATCAATATATTTCACTGAAATTCCTCCCCACAATGGTTATTTTGGAACATAAACAAGACTCCATAAGTTTACCTCAACCTTCCCATTATCAACTATTACCTATGGCGCGCCGTTCCTGACCAGTTATTTTCCAGACAGACTTTTTTAAAATTAAAGCTAGGGTTTGAGTTTCACACAGGCAGAAAGAGAAAAAAAAAAAAAAGGAAACTTGTCACTCTGCTCATGCACTTCTCACCGTCTCTGGGGTCAGGCAGCTTTGGAAAAGGCGCGGGCGTGAGGGGGCAGCGCGAACCCAAGGCTGGCCGCGAAGCCTCAGCCCTACGCGGAACGGACGCGGAAAGCTCTGCCCGGTTCCCCGCCGCCCCGGGCGCCCGCGCGGTGGCCCGCCCTCCGCGCCGCCCTCGCCGCCCACCTCCAGCAACAGGTGCCGACGCCGAGGCGCTCCCCTGAGGCAGCGAGCGGGATGCTCACGTCACCGCCCCTCCGCCTAGCCTACCTGGCCCCGGGAACACCGACATCCGCGCGCGCCCTGCGGTCCCCGCCGGTCTTCCCCTCTTCACACACCCTCGCTCTGCCTCTCGCGCCAGTCCCCACGCCTCGCCTGGGCTGGAGACTCTTTCTCCCGCTATCCGGTCAGGAGGAGGGTTCCATCCTCCTCCCCCTTCGCCCCCTGCCTCTCCTCCCTCCCCCTCCATCCTCCTCCTGCTCCAATAGGACCCAGGGCTCCCGGGGCTGCGCTCACCAGACCAGCCGAGAGGGGGTGGCCGCCCACGCCAGCGCGCGCCCCGCTCGGCGCAGCGGGCAGTCAGGGCCGCGCTGCGGCGTCGGGAACACCCTGCCTCGGCCATTCCCGGTGGACTCTTCCAGCAGCAGGGCGCCTAAGCTGACCTGCCCCGGCTCCAGAGCGCGCTGGTCCTGCCTCTCCCCGCGCGTCCCAGCTTGAGAGAGCGGTGGGCGCTTTCCAGTCGTCCTCTTCAGATGAACATTCTATCCAGCTTCCTCCCTGGGGAGGAAACTCCCCGTGTAGACTGCGGGGGCACTCTGCCCTGGGTCCTCCACTGTTCCTAGTTTTCCTTCCGGAGAGAAAACCTACTTAACGGAGTCTTGTTCTGTTCCTAAAAGGGTATTTCTTTTGACGTTGACTGAAACACTCCCTGAGGTGCTCACCCCATGAGAATTTGAGCATAAATTCACGAAGTGTTAGAAATAAAGGGTTTGCCCCCACCTACGCTTATAAAGCAAGGATTGAGGTCAACATCTGAGATAAATTATCGTTCTCCTCATTTATAAAATAGGATTATTCATTCCTACCCCATACATCCGTGAGAAGGATTAGATGGATGAGATGGTGTGTGAAGTGCAACTCCTTACAGTATGCTTGGCACGTGACAAACTCTCAAAAAATGTTGTTTATTTTTTTAAGGGCTTAAAAGTAAAGGCCCCAGTGTCAGACCATAACATCAGCAATGTGCAAATCCCTATCTGCCCCAGAGATTTTTCAAAGCAAATGTAGCATTATTAAAATCACAGAAGTTTCAAACCAGGAAGGAGGTTCAAGATTAGCAATTCAACACCACCTCACTGCTTTTTATGGAAAAAAAGAAAAAAAAACTAACTAAATTAAGAGCTGATTGAGTGGCTTAAAGGCAGAGACAAGACTGGGTCCTTGGTCTCCTAATTCTAGATGCAGCACACATAGGTACCCTTCCTAATGAATCAGAATAGGAATAACTGGAATAAGGGGTGGAGAACCTGCAGCCTCAAGGCCACAGGTAGCCCCCCAAGGCCCCAGGTTCCCCATGAGGAAATGTAAATGCTGCTGCTTTAAGGCCCTATAAAAAGATAGTGTAACTTAGATGATCAGAGAGATTGAACAGCTTTCCTATGAGGCCAAACTACAAAGGTTGGACCTGGGTCTAGAAGCTGTAATCCATCGAGCATATTAACAGAGTAGACACAGACAGACATGCTTACTAAATCCTGTGATATATTAACTGAATCTTGAAGACAATTGAAAGTCAAACACTGAATCAATGATCCATGCAGCCATAACGTGAAACAGAAAACAGTAAGAGACATTTAAATTGTATAGTAAAATATATATTCAACCCACCGTTTTATTCTTTTATTAGCATGCATAAAGGCTTTATTTGTGGCCAAATGTTACTTTTATTAAGACCCTGACAAAGTCAATGTCTAGCAACCAAATATTCCATCTTTAGCCTTGTTTCACCAAGTCTCACGATTAAACACATTCCCCCAACTGGACTTAGCATTTATCTTCACTCTGTCTATGACATTACCCTAGGACTGTGATGAGTTGAAATGAAAATTTAACCTCCCAGTCTATCTCAAGGAATGAAATAATTCATTAATAATTATTACTAAATGTTTAGGAAGCAGAAGATCCTGGAAGACACTGTGAGAAAAACAGAGATCTCTAAAACAACCCTAAGTTTACTGAGCCTGCACTCTTTCTGAGGTGAAAGTTTAATTGACCAAAACTCAGAATGTGCCAAGCAAAAAATGAGCAGTCCAGAGAGTTCTAGAAAGGCTGTAAGAGGAAGAGAGTGTATCAGTTGGTGAAGGCTTCTCCAAAGAGCTAACCTAACAATCTTTGCTTTGAAGAATAAAACTGTAGGATATAATATAGCTGATATTTTAGCACATGTACTTGACAAAGTAGTGTAGATGATATCAAATACTGAAATTATTCAACCAATGCACATTTAATGTAAATCCAAACTGCTTACGTGGATCAAAAGACCCTATAGGATTCTGTCCCTCTTATACTCCCCATCCTCATCTTGTACCACTCTCCCCCTATTTCACTGTGGATCCTGTCACACTGACCCTCTTTCTTTGGCTCAAACACAGCAAAATCATTCCTGCCTCAGGGCCTTTGCATAAGCTTTTCCTTCTGCCTGGCACACTGTTCCTAGAGATCTTCATATAGCTGGCTCCTATCATATCCTTCATTTAAGGGGTACCTCAGCTATCTCTTCCTCAGAGGTGCCTGTCCTGATAACTTCCACAGACACTTCTTAGCACTGATAACTTCTTAGCCATTACCATGTTCTATTTAATTTATATAATATAACCCTAATAAATATCTTATTTATTATTTAGGTGTTTTTATCTGCCCATAAGAATGAAAGCCCCATGGGGTAGGTTCCACGTCTCTCTCATTCACTGCTCTTATACCCAGCAGCTAGAATAGGCTCTGAGACACAATAGAAACTTACTACTCTTGTATAACTCTTGTTATTAATAACAAGATTCTGTGAAGACCCTGAAGGCTGTCATATCAGAAAGTTTCCCAGAGCTCATTGCCTTATATTTCACAATCCAACCTTAGAAAACATAAGAATTGATCCCATGTAAAATACAAATACACATAAATCAGAGATATTTTAAACCTCATTCATCATTTATATGTTAGAGAGACTTTGTTCTTCAAATCATGCTTTGATAGGGAAAACAAAAAGGAAAAGGATTCCTAGGCACCTGGAGGTGGGAGGTGGCAGGTGCCACTGAGAGAGAAGGGTGTTAAAAGAAAAGCTGAAGGTTCCAAAGACACAGTTAGCCCAATTCCCAATCCTAATTAAATGCAACATCAACGGAGTGTAAGCCTTTTCCCCTATAATACATTCCATCAAATCAATTCAATAACATTAAATTTCACACTATATAGAGTAATTAATTTTCTTAAACCCAGTAAGAAAAGTGCTGATGCCATGCAATTTTCCTCCCTACTCCAAGTTAATTAGTCTCACATACTAAGTAAACCTTATAAATCTTCTCAAAAGATCTTTTTATTCCTTGAAAAAGGTATTTCTTAAATTTGAGGTTTCATATATCCAAGTTTAGGCATGCTGAAAGGAATTTCACCCAAGCAACAAAACCAAGTTTAGGCAGTATCTATGCACTCTTACCCCGGCAAAAGTAGAGATAAGATGTTACTTCAAGGGCATCCAGTCTGGGTGCAGTGGCTCACACTTGTAATCTTAGCACTTTGGGAGGCCAAGGCAGGAAGATCGCTTGAGGCCAGGAGTTTGAGACCAGCCTGGGCAATGGCCAGAGACACCTGTCTCTACAAAAAAAGTAAAAATAAAAATTAGCCAGGCCTGGTGGTGCATTTCTGTAGTCCCAGCTATTTGGAAGGCTGAGGCAGGAGGATCACTTGAGCCTAAGAGTTAATGGTTGCAATGAGCTATGATGACACCATTGCACTTTAGCCTGGGTGACAGAGAAAGACCCTATCTCAAAAGAAAAAAGAGGCCCAAATCTGTCTCTTAAAGGCTTAGTGAGGAATGAGGATTGCTTGAGCTGAGGAGTTTGATGTTCCAGTGAGATATGATGATGCCACTGTACTCTAGCCTAGGCCACAGAGCAAGTCTGTGTCTCCAAAAAATAAAAATAAATAAAAAAGGAGTGCTAAATCTGTCTGCCAAAGGTGGCTTCTCTTTGGGCCCCGAGTTTCAGATAGGAAATATATTAGGGATTGTCAGGAGTTTGCCACAAACCTGGACCCCTCTTTCTCTTCCCACTGCCAGGTTCTGACCAACCTGGAATCTAAAAATAAGGCACCCAGTAGCCTCAACACCCCTCCCCAGACTTCCACACCAATATGTAGTAATGTTCTCAATAAATTTTAGTGTTTATCATTTTAGAACTCCATAATTATCTTAATCCATTTTGTGTTGCTATAAAGGAATGCCTGAGGCTGGGTAATTTATAAAGAAAAGTGGTTTATTTGGCTCACAGTTCTGCAGGCTGTACAAGAAGCATGGTGCCAACATTGACTTCTAGTAAGGTCTCAGGCTGCTTCCACTCAAGGCAGAAGGCCAAGCAGAGCCAGCATGTGCAGAAATCACATGACAAGAAAGGAAGCAAGAGAGAAAGAGGTGAGAGGTGTGTGGGGCTGTTTTTAACAACAGCTCTCGTGGGTACTACTGAAGAGAGAACTCACACATTACTGAGAGAACAGTCCCAAACCATTCATGAGGGATCTGCCCCTAAGATCCAAACATTTCCCATTAGGCCCTACCTCCAACAGTGGGGATCAAATTTCAACATGAAGTTTAGAGGGGTTAAATATTCAAACCATATCAATAACGAAAAAGAAACAGAGCTTAAATCCAAGTTCTCAAAGAGCCAGGCACACAGTAATAGCTCATTAAACATTTGTTCAATGAGTGACGTGATTGGACAAATAAATGAGAAGGAAGCTCCACTGTCAGATCCAGAATCAGAATTTGTGAGCCAAAGGAAGTAATTTCCTGTCCCAAAAGGATCAGAGAATCCATATAACAATGGAGAATACTTAAAGCCTGAGAATCTGCTCCTGGGTCAGAAAAAGACTCAATATTTTGAGGCCTTTTGGAAATAAAAAGCACCAGAAAATCTGAGCAAGTTCCTAAACAGTCTCTCCTCTTGGTGCTACCACTTACTAAAACACTGTGCTCAAAACTACTTTTCATTTAACTCATATTTTGCTTAGTAATACTTAAAAGCCTACTGCCTCTGAGCTGCCAGATCTTGCTTTTCTTCTTCTTCTGATAACACCATAATCCTGCTAGCTGCAATGCATACCTTAAATGAGTACTTATTTATTCACAGGCATTGCTAGACACT